CTCACCTATCCTTCTTCATACTGGAATCACCAGAATGACGTGCTGCCATAGTTTGACTGATGAACTGTTGAATCAAGGGTGAAGCTCGAGGTGCGGATGGATTTGCTGCAATAAAAAAGTTTGAGAGGAAGGAGAGAGGTGAGATATAAGGGTAAGGATACCTGCTGCCGCTGTACTGGCGTTTCCACCACCACGAATGAAATCGATCAATTCGTTTTTAATCTTATTTGGTGGTCCAGTAACATTTTCTTCAACACGCATATCACCTTCCAGTTTCAGCACCTAGAAAAAAATTAGTATGAGAAGTAATTTTCATAATAAGTAAAAAAGTAAACAACTCCTCGGTTTACTTTAAATAAATGAATAGATGAATAAACAATCAAATTGTTTGGTAGAAAACTTTAATGTATGTATTTTATATATAACGAATACTTTAGCTATCTAATACTTCACTTCGGGCACAAAAACTGCATGAATCACTCTGTTTATAAAAATGACTCACATAAAGAGATGTAAAAGTTCGCTATAATGCGACTAGTTAAGACATTGCTTATATGTGTACTTATAATATGATAGATCATCAAAAAAGATTCTGGTTGGCATCTTGCGATGGGTAATTCAACCATTATGATAGTCAGTCGAAAACCAAAAAGAAAAATTTGTTCTGGCAATCATTGCTAAATGAAGAAAACCAACTGTGCTGAGATAGGTAATATGATAAAAAAAAAAGGTAATTAAGGAAAAATGCTCCTTTAAGAATGTTATGCAAGTCCGATTACATCTATAAATCTATCTATAAATCCATAAATGGGTGACCTAAAAAGGCGCGCTAATGAACCGATGGTCTTAAAGACAGCTTGATAACAACATCATAAAATTTGATGTGAAATCTTAGGCTATAAATTAGAAGTACTTACAATGATCTGCGCTTTCTGGGAAAAAAGACTTATTACCCACAACAATTAATAAATTTAATTGAATAAGTTTGAGTTTTTTGAAAGATTAGAAAGAAATTAGGAAACCAACTCAATTATAAACTTATTTTTCCGGAGTTTCTCCTGATTTTAATTATTCAATTTTTCCATTTTACTGCATTTTTCATTGAATGATCGTTTGTTCAGTTTTAAAATCTACTGGAAAAACCGTTTCTTCCTAGCACTTTCATGTCAGACTTTGAAACCGATGGGAATCCAACAATATCTATTAGAAAAAGGGCATCGGGATCAATTGGGAAAGCTCCATTCCCTCTCTCTTCCCCCTACTTTTTCCCCTGAAATCGTGTTCTTCCACCTTTTACCCTTTTTAATCGTATCACGTAAAAATCAAACATTCCATGTGGGGTT